GATGGCCTTGCCGACCTGCGCGGCCGCCTGCTTGACGGCGTCCCCAACCTTGTGCACCTGCTTCTTGACGAGGGCGGCGTCGTGCGAGATGTGCGTCTTGATGGCCTTGCCGACCTTCTCGGCCTTTCCCTTCAGGGCCTTGAGGCCGTTCGCCAGCAGGTTCGGGTAGAAACTGCCGTGGGTCTCAGAAGACTCGGAGCCGAACTTGGGGACCTGGTGGTGTTGGTAGGTGGTAGGACGGCTATCACCCTGGAGGGCTGCTCCGTGGCCTCCGTGTGACACTGGCACATTCTTCGGGAGAATGTTCTTGCCGGCGCCGCTTTGTTGACCGTTGCTGCCGCCGTGATGGTAGCGCAATCTGATGACGACGGGACCATGGCTAGGGTAGGTATGGCTACTTCCTCCGGTCTGGCCGGTGTGGCTGTGGTAGTGGACGGTTTGCTTACCGCCAGCATGGCCCTGGCCGGTGGTAGAGTGCTGGCCCTGGTAGCCATGGCTAGGGTAGGTATGGCCACTTCCGCCAGTCTGGCCGGTGTAGCTGTGGTAGTGGACGGTTTGCTTACCGCCAGCATGGCCCTGGCCGTAGCCCTGGCCGTAGCCCTTGCCGTAGCCATTGCCGTAGCCCTTGCCGTAGACCTGGCCCTGGTGACCGGCGGTCGCGGAGGAGACCTTCTGTTTGACGAGCTTGGCGGCCTTCTGGATGTTCTGTCGGATGGCCTGGCCGACCTGCGCGCCTTGCCTCATGGCCAGCTTGGCGCCGTTTTTGAGCTGCTGTCCGATGACCTCGCCGACGTGCACACCCTGCTTCACCGCCGCCTTGACGGCGTCCCCGACTGCGTGCGCCTGCTTCTTCATCATGGCGGCGTCTTCAGAGACGATCGTTTTGATGCCATTGCCGAAGTTCTCGGCGCCTTTCTTTAGGGCCTTGAGGCCGTCCGTGAAAAGGTCCGGGAAAGCACTACCATGAGATGCAGAGGACTCGTAGGACCCAGAGGACCCGGAGGACCCGGAGGACCCGGAGGACCCGAAGGGGAGGACGTCGACGACGGGGAGGTTGCCCAGCGGGAAGAGGTTCGGGAAGTGGGGCTCGGCCAGCGCGCCGGCAACCTGTGTGGGACACACAACCGTGCTGGCAGACGTACATCTACATCAAGTACACCAACTTTTTCCCTCGACTTACCGCGACCGCGAAGACAACGACACCTAGCAGACGAGCCATGGCTAGTCGAATGGTGACCATTCCCACAGCCGGAGGACGTTTTAAAGCCGAGAGCCGAGGCAATTAAGAGCGTCGTGACAACGATAAAACATGTAATTAGTCAACACCAATTGGATGGGCGAAACACGTTTGCAATCCTCACACCTTTCCATGAGGTGACTTTGCGATGTCGTTTTTCTTAAAATTTTCAAAAAAAAACAAACAAACAAACAAAAAACAAACGTTTGTGTCGTGCATTGTGAGCGAGAAATAAAAATGACCACTGTTAATCAGGAACTATTTTTTTTTTCGGGAAAGAGGGGATGTAAACGTGGCATTCTCTGTAGCAATCTGTAGCTTTGGCAGGTTTGAACACTTCTCTCTTCACGCGAATATGTGCGGTAACGCCACGCGTGTGAGCCCGTGACGGACCCACGAAAAAAAAAGAGTTGAATCCATAAATCAGTAGCGTTACGCGTGCCGTTTGTTGGGGTCTTTTCGAGGTAGGCTGACCACGGGTCATGAATAAGGCACCCAGCGTGGCGCGGCGCCGCGGAGCCGTGCCGCGTAAGGTGAGGCCAAAGAGCCGCCCGAAATAATGATTTGTTACAACATCCAGTTTGAACGCCGGAACAGACACATCGCGCTTCGCCGGGTCCGCGGCGGGTCCGCGGCGGGTCCGCGCCTCCTCCTCGGCTCCTTTTTTACAACAGACCGCGACAATGCTAAGTGACAACCCGCGGCGAAGACACAGGAGGCGACTCGCACGCCAATTGGGGGGCATTCGTCGTCTCCGCTGCCCGGCCCGCGCGCCTTTACTTTCGCCCCGAAAACGAAAGTAAAGCTGCTCGGGACGGCGGCCGCGGGCGCGCGCACCGCGCTATCGCCAGCGTCCCGTGTTCTCACATGAGTGTGGCGCGGGTGTCGCGGCCGCGGCGTCGTCGTGAAACCGACGCACCGCGACCTCCTCGGCGCCCCGCGCCCGCGCCGCGTCACAGAGGCGACTCTGCGGCAGGTGCGGGGAGGCGAGGCAGTGGTCTCGTCAAAGCTTTGGCATGTCCTTCTATAGGCAGGTTGAAAAGACGCGATGAATTTAGTTACGGAAAAGCGAAAGTACATTCGTTCATACGTAAACTCGGGATAGTTTTTACGGTGGAGCAACAACATGCGTGTTGGAGGCGCGCGCGGGGGCGTTGACCGCGGAGGTGTTACTTGGCGCCTGGAGACCAGCAGAGAACATCGCGCGCGGGCGTGAGCGGGAGAGAAAGGGGTGACCCCCCCCCCC